TTTATAAATCCCAATTCACATTTTGATTTTTTTTTCCTTTGCTAATAATAATTTAAAAACATACACTTCTCTCAAAATCAAATCCAGTTTTTCTTGGTTCAGATCCATTTTATGTTGTTCATCACTGTAAACTAAAAAATCTGAGTTGTGTATTGATAGACATTAGTTGTCAGTTTCTTCAGTGTATTTGTACATTCTAATATGTTAATGTTATGCTGCTACGCATTTTAATTTTTCACTAGTGCAATATTATTTATAATTCTCCTTATTTAATGAGAGTACATGCACAAGGATAAAATTGCCTTAATTTATAAAATAATTGAATTTTGGCTCCAAGAGCATTGTTAGAAAACCCTTAAGAATTTTAGAGGCATATTTGGAAACGCATGCAAGATACGAAGAGTGAGTACAATTTTACACCATCTGGCGTACAATGAAGAACTATTTACAAATATGTTATGCTCCATCAGCTTTTTGCTAGACCATAAGATTTTATTTTACTGGACCAATTAAATTTTTAATCTACACACGGCTCTACAAAACCAAGTCATTAAATAATGATGTGTGTTTAGCTCAAACGTTCTGCTGTGCCAATGACCAGCTGATACAGTAAGATATTGCAGTCATACATTAAATCTGAGTTTTCTTGTTTAAAGTGAACTTGTACAGAGCACAAAATTCTGTACTTACCTTTCTAGTGCCCCTATCAAAAATGCACAGTACAAAGACCACTACACTCTGGTATGGGGGCACAGAAGAACTGGGCGGTGAAGGAGCGCAGAGGTTAGTATGAAATGCTTACTCAACATGCTAATAAAGTAAACCTGTTATATTGCCTACTATGGGCCTAGTGCAGGTTAGGGTTGCCACCTGTCTGGGATTCACCTGGACAGTCCAGTTTTAGAGTGCTGTGCCCAGGTTTCATGGTAGTTAAAAACTGGACACAAGCTATCAGGCAGACAGGGGCAGCCATGGGGCCCTGCTTAAGCCAGAGCACAGTAAAGCTGGAGACAAAGCTGGAAGTAGTAGTGTTCTCTAGTCCAGGGATGGGAGCTGCAGGCAGGTGACCTGGGCATGCATTCATGCATTCATGATATCAGGTGCAGGGACTACATCTGGCCCATCTCTCAGGCCCCTCTGGCATCCAAGAATTTCCCCGGTGCCGGCTTCTCCTTTGCAGCCACATGACAGCACTGAGTGTGCAGCTTGTCAGTGCCCTGTGTGCTGGTGATCAGAGAGGCTGGTGAGGGGGCCACTGGGCTCTAGAGGAACACTTGTATCCTTCCACTGAATGGCTGAGAGTGAGATTGGAGATGCAGGCAGTGCAATGTGGATCACAATATGTTCTGAACAGCATTACAAATTCTTTGGAATGTAAACAGTTCTCATATATGTATTTTCACTTTGTATTTAAGGTGACTGACAAAGAAGTGTCAGTTTCTAAAGAGTTTTCATCAGAGCAGGAGAGTTAGGTATTTAGTCTCTCCTTTACAGGTACGTATTTTGTTTGCAACTTTTTAAGCAACAAAAGCACTTTTACCTGTTTGGCTGGTGCTCTGCTTTAAAGTTGTTTGCAAAATAGCTTTATACACGGGTGAAATATATCTTTTTAAAGTATTTTACAGGTTCAAAGACTTGACAAAACAAGAGAATGATTCACACACTCTTGCCTCATGGCATAACACGCGGGTTCACTCCACTCTACTGCCACTTTGCTGTTCCTTTGTCTGTACCTGTTTGTTTTCTATTGCTAGAACAATAATAGACTGACACCACTGTTCAATTAATTAGAACCCCTTTTGGGTTTAATGGGTAACCTTCCACTCACATTCTGATATCTGCTCTGCAGTAGATTGTAGGAAAACAGTATAAAGACATATTTCAGGCACACATACTGATAGTATTTGCAATTTAATGAATAGGTAAAATAACTAGACTTAATGTTTTTCTAATAATTGCATTACCTTGAGTTTTGTTCCAACATTCCAACAGCTTTTAGTTGTAGATGAAAAACATTTCTTTAAATAAAAATCTTTAAGATGACTTATTTATCAGTTATGTGTTTTAAAAACAAGACCTTCAGTGCTTTGATTTATGATAAGAAACCATTGTATTCTGTCTGATTTTTTTTATAATCGGTCTTTTACAGGAATATAAAAAGTATATTACCTTTTCAATTCATTTCCTTAAAATGGAAATGTGCTGTTTAGTATTCCATAGGAAATTACTTTTAGATTATTTTTATAATATCTTGTAAGCTTCCTGTGTGATTGGGTATACATAAATTATGTACTTATGCTGTTCATTTTATTCATTCCAGATAAAGCAGCAGATAATGAAAGGCAAAGATGAGCTTTCTTCTTGGCATATTATAACAATATTGTTAATATTACTACTGCCTAGATTATTATTTTTTGTATTACCAAATACATTTAAATACTAATACCATTATTGTTATTTTTATTATCATCATCATCAGCACCACTATATTGTTAGAAATAGTTTAGCCACAATTAATGGTATGAAATTAGTTCCAAATTGATTTCTGTATATCAGAAAGTACTACTGGCTTCCATTTTATACGCGATTGGTTGAAATGCTCATTCCTAGACTTAAAGATGTAATTCAAAGTACATTTAGGCTATGATCATCAAACCTACTTTGATCCAATAATCCAGTTTAAAAAAAAATAAAAGCATTGTAGCATTGCTACAGTGGGACATTGTCAGTCCCACAATGTCAATTCTAGAATTTAAAGAAGGTCTATGAATTTTAGGGGTACATTTAAAAAGCAGCGGTATGGCAACACTACGGCCATACTGCTGCTTTAAAAAAACAAAACACAACTAGGAACCAGATGTACCAGACTCACTGGAAAATTCACCTGTTCTGCCCAATAACACGTTGCAGATTGTGCCACAGTCTAAAGCTTTCTGGTCTTATTTGCAAGGGGTGTGGACCTTTGGGTGACCTCTTCTATGCATGATATGCTCACTATACTCCATGTTAGGGGAATTTCCTGTTATATCTGTTGAACACTTTAGTATAGCTTCAGTTTTTCACTGCTGTGAGGGAAAATATAAAAGCCAATTGAGAGAAAAGTCTGAATGTATTGGATATACTGTGCTCAAGGGCATAACAATAGCCATAGTAGATCATAAGACCCAAAAGTCCAGAATCCTAGAATGATAGAACTGTTTGGTTACACAGTGATTTATTCAGGTAAGAATATAATTTGGTAAATTAATTTTGTGTAATGACTATATACTGTATATAGTTTATGAACTTCTATTTGATTGATGAAAGCAGTTTGTATTCTGTACTACTAAAGGGACTGCTTTGGGATGACGATTAGAGACGCAGAGGGATAAGGCAGGTACTAATGGTTCTGCTATGGGACCTCATCACACACTGTTATGAACCTACAAGGGATAGTGATAATTGTCACATTAATGCTCTAGGTTACTCACAGAAACTGGTCTGATCAATGTATTTATTATTTTTTCCATTTTACTAATCCTTACAATTACCATGTGTTTCACTTTTTTATTGCTTGAATGTAATAATTTTTTTCCATACATATACATTTAATACAGGGTGCTTCCATGACAATGTGTTCTCTACCATGATACTATTAGTCCCGACTTTTAGACTGTATCTCTGTTATTGATACTCATATTTCAATGATCTAGACACAAGAAAAGGAAGGTACCTGATCGGAAAGCCCGTGAGAAAGGGCTCTAATACTCTCTTTACTGTATAGAAGTAAAGCACTGCAGAAATAAAGCTTTGCCTACTGGCTGAAAGAAATATTCAAATGTAATATTTTTTACTGTATAAACCTGAATATAACTACATTTGAAAAACATATATTTTAGGTCATTTTAACATTTAATAATGCTAAAAACACAATAAATGTCTTTTGATTCTTTTGTTGCCAGACCCTGCTCTCCAATTTTAACCCCAGGCAGTCAGACCATGTTTGTTATTTTTCACTTTTTTATCATGCATCACTATTTTTTACCTACAGCTTTAAACGTTTGTAAAATACCGCCCCCCCCACCACCACCATATACTTTCTACATGTTTTATTTTCATGATTACAGGCCAGTATAAGTGATCTTGTTGGCTGTATTCGTAGTCGACAAGGTAGCCCTGCCTGCCTGTGGTGATTGGTCCTGGCAACCAATGACTGAAGCAGAGGGGGGCCTGTACAGGGTTATAGTTGGCACTGGATGCACCGGCCTCTGCATTTTTTAACAAAACACTCACAGCTTGAAAACAAACCCAAGAAATTATTCAATGGCAAGGCAGAAAGCTTAACAAACTGTGTTTTCACCATAGAAGGGTAAGCCATTTAAGTAAAAATCAACTGGTAAGACAATAGCTGTAGGTAGCTAGCTAACATCATACCACCAGTTTAGGTAGTTTTGTTCTGCAGTGGTTCTTATGTGCAATTTTCTCCATGCCCCCCCCCCCATGATGTATTTTTTAAAAAGCGGCTGCATCAATTGCTGTTTGTGTGTTTGTTTTTTCTATTACACGGCCATGACATTTTGGTAGAAAATGTCTTCTTGGGTTCCAGTACAATAATCATTTTCTTATTAGGGCCCTAAAATGCTTTAAGTTCTCAGCTGCTCTAACGTACATATTTTTTTCCACCGGAGCAATATATTGTCAATGAGCTTAATATTTTTATTTCCAGTGTTCCATGTTTAATTTTATTGAAATGTTCTGTGTTCAATTACATTAGTGATACCATTAATCAGTTTTAGCCATGTGATGTCAGTAAAACATCCTGTATTTTTACCATCTGGGTAGAACTTAGAAAGAATATTTAATAAAGTTTTTCATTTGCATTTTTTAGGCTTCAATGTCCCCTCTATACTGCATTATACCCAAAAGGATACTTCCTATTATATTGCTTTGTCTGTAATTAACTACGGCAGGTCCTCCTTCTATCAAGTACAAAGGCCATAGATGAATACACTGGTACTTACAGCTGTCCTCTTCATCTGTGAAAACACTGATCACATAACAAGCGTACACAAACCCGATGAGCTGCATAGAGAAAGCAAAAGAGATCTCAGTTAATAGGTCAATTGTAAAATGGAATTTAAAAACTGTAGAGTGTCAGCATTGTTAATTTAAAACAGAAGGTATTATTAGCCCATTACACATTCTTCTAAGAGTGAATCAATGGTTCTCCTCGGTAATAAACCTCTCTGATAATCTGTGAAAGTGGCTTTAGCTGAAGAGGTAACACGCTTTCATTGTTAGGAATCTAATGTAATGAGTGTGCTGTAGAAATTCTCAGAGGTTTTGGCTGGAGAGTCCACACAATATCAACAATGGTAAATAGGAGAAATGAATCACGTCAAGTAAAATTAGTTAAAATTCCCATGTAAGCATAAACAATAGAAGGCAATTGTTGATTCTGAAAATGTCAGCAGGGTCATCCAATGATCAAGATGTCTACGGGCACTTTGCAAACTCAGCAGATAATTTTTGAATGAAACCCTTCAATGTCTGACCTAAAACCCTGCCACAACCCTGCCAGTAGCTATGCATAGATAAGGTTGAATACTGTTTTAAACTAATGCTAAAACTTAAGGCTTATATTATCAAATAGTATGAAGTCCTTGAACAGGAGAAAGACAAATCCCTCCTATTAAATTGTATAAATGTATAATTTAAGAAGAATGCCTTATCACAGATCATAATATTCTAGGAGTGATCAGGACAAGACCATGCCCTCTGACAAAACTCCCCACTTTCCTCCATTTCTGTGAATGAGCAGATTGTAACATTTGCAGTAGGACAAACATTGACTTGTACAGTACAAACATTTGTACAAACATTGAACAGTTGTCTGCGTCCAGGGGCATACATCCATAGATGTATGCAAATAAACGCCTGGAGCAGTGTTTACTAGCATACAGCTGCCACCTTTTATTGATCTGTACAGGTGGACTGTATGCAGCTGTTGTGGCTCCAAGGCGCAGAGATCTGGGCATCTTTTACAGACCTATCTGCCCATGTGAATGAGCCCATACACACTATGACTTCTCTTGCTTGTACTATTTCCTTTAATGGAAACAAAAATAATTCTCTTTTACTTGCTTCTATTTTTTTGATGCCACTGGCTAGTGTCCGCAGTGTAATAAGTGTGATAGTGGTGACAGAACAGGTATTGGCTTGTGTAGGATGCTCTAGCTCAAATGTGAAAAGCAAGAGATATAATGTCATTGAAACCTTTAATGGGGTGGTTGAGAAGGATGAGTCACTCCTGTGAGTCACTCACTTTTGTGTGTAAATTTCATCTTGAGCTATTGAGCCTTGTAAATAACAGGCATTTTACAATATGAGAAGGTTGGTACGGAGAAACTGTAAAACATGTAAAAAAAAGGGCCAAGAGCATCACCTGCCGCTATTTGATTTTATTCTTAAGTCCTCACATGCAGCAAAGAAAAACATGTGTACAAAACCACACCACAACCCCTTTATTTAAATGATAATAACACATTATAGGCATGCAGAGCCTTTTGCATTAGGGTATGCACACAAAAGTACAAACACATACATGATACATACATACATACATACACAGACTTGAGGCATCCCCGATTCCCATCTCTTCAACTGTCCCTGTCAGGGACCAGAACACCTCCAGGTGGCACTGGAGCAGATCCTGCATTTCCGGTGCTCACCTGCAGATGTCTCCAGGCAGCCAAAAGTAGCTGTCAGGGAGCTGAGCAACTCTAGGTGGCACTGTGACACTGGAATCAGGACCTGCAGCTCCAGGACTCACTTGCAGGTGTTTCTGCAATTAGGCACCACCTGCTGATGATCTGGGAGGGTATTTAATCCCTCCCTGCGGTGAGCAAGTGAAAACCTGGGGAGCACGACAACACAAGGGGAGCCACGGAGCAATGATCAGGGTACAAGGGTCCACTTCAGGGAGGGATTAAATACCCTCCCAGATCATCAGCAGGGGGTGCCTAATTGCAGAGACACCTGCAGGTGAGTCCTGGAGCTGCAGGTCCTGGTTTCAGCGTCACAGTGCCACCTGGAGGCTTAAGTCCCTGACAGCCATTGGCTGCCTGGAGACACCTGCAGGTGAGCACCGTAAATGCAGGATCTGCTCCAGCGCTACCTGGAGGTGTTCTGGTCCCTGACAGTGCCGTACCTCTTCCAGCAGGGGTACATTAATGGAGCCTGGCAGGTGGTCATGTGACCACCCGTCTGGCTTCCGGATTGGATGGGAAGCCAGGGAACCTGTAGCCACACTCCCTCCTAGCTTCCCAGGCAGCAAAGGCTGTAACTGTTATGTGAGGAATGTAAGAGCCAAGTGCTGCTGCGCTCTGTATCGCTGAGCCGGTCACAGAGAGATCTTTGTGACCTTTCCATCGGCTCAGTGACTAAAAACATGGTGCCTGCTGTTGTGGTTTTGGTGTTGCACTGGGGGTGATTAGGTTGTGCCCAGGCACCCCCAGCACACCCTGTGCACATGCCTATGTAACACATTTGTATTAGAAGTAGATCTAAACCTAGACAATAAAATCTCATATAAGCTTTAACACATAGATATCATTTCAAAAGCTGTTTCCAATCGTTTTAAATTTATAGCTTTCATTAAAATAATACTTTTATCCCTACCTTCTGATCTCGTAACAATTGTAACATTGGGTTTCCTCTAATTTTCTGTCCTGATGACAGTGACAATGGTCACCAGGACATATAGAAAGGGTGAATATATAGCAACAAAAACTTAACAATGCATGCAATCCTTCCCTGCTCTATGGAACAAAACAATAAAAACTTTCAGTACCAGGGACTGCGCTTCATTATTGACCTCAGCTGGCCCAGCCATTTTTGCAGTTGTTCACTTTTTTTATAATTTTTTTTTTCATTTACAGCTTTCAGAGTTTGTAAAATACCTTCCAAATCATACATTTTCTGAAAGCACAGGAGCAAAGAAATATGCTGCTACTGATTTTGTAGCCCCGTGATAGTTGCGCAAACGTTTATCAAAACAACATATTTAATAAAAATACACTAAAATCAATATTAACACACAAAAATACTGTACATCATATCTTCAACAATTCCTACTAAAAAATAAAACTGTATTGGGTGAATAAATAGCACATATTTGCTCATTTTCAAATGTGTCTGGTTTCAAAACGGTGAAAATCAAAGGAACCCAAACTGTAAATATGCAACTTACCCTTTGTAACAAAACACTGCATCGCATGTGCACAATACACACCAGCATGAGCGTTATGTGCACCATAACGTCTGCCTGCTGATATGATCGGGACCTTAGTGTGCATTACCACAAGGTGTATAGTGCACATGGGCACTTTGTGTGTAATCTATGTGTCTGTGTGTGTGTGTGTGGGGGGGGGGGGGGGGGGGGAGGGGGGTGGGG